CTGCCGCCGCCCTCTGAGCCCCTGCTCTCCTGTAAGTCCTGCGGCCCAGGCCCCAGCTTTCGCTGGCAAGGAGCCAAGCTTTTCCAGAGGGCTGCCAAGTCGCTGGCCAAGGTGCCCACCAGCGTGTGTCGGCGCAGGCGCTTGACTGTCTTTCTGACGCGGATCTGCGCCAGCACTTGGGCGCTCACCGGCAGGGCGCAGTTTCCGCAAATACCTGGCAAGCCTATCTGGGTCGCTGGTGGCCAGCAGGCGGCCTCGCAGCTTGCGTACTGCTCGCCCCACCCGCTCCTCCGTCGCCCCAGCCCTGGCCATCTCCCTCCGTCCAGGCCTCCCGTTCCCCGCAGGGCCCACTCGCTCGCTCTCTGGCTGGCTCCCGGGGGCTGCTTCCGCCTGGCGTCTCTGGGTCACTGAGCTGGCCCGAGCGGGGTCCTGTAGGCGCGCTGGGGTGGTGGTGGTTGGGGGCGGGGGGCGCGGGCAGTGGGAGGACGGCCCGCGTATCCTTGCGGCTCACCGCCAGCTGGGAGGTCAGCTGAGTGTCCTCGGGGTGCGTGTGAGGCCTAGGCCTGGAATCACCCGTGCGCCGGGCGTGCTGTGGATATGGACTTACCGACGCTAGAAGCCTTGCTGAGGCTTGGTCCTGGCTGCCAGATCTCAAGAGGTCTCCTCTCCTCTCCTCTCGCCCCGCCATCCCCGCCCTGCCCTCCTGGAACCCCTCTCCCGAACACCTGCTTCTGGCTAACTTTGTGAGCCAACAGAAGCCCGACCATACCCACGGACCAATCAGCTCCGGCCTCAATCCCGCCCCCTTGCACACACTTCCAGGGAGCCGAGTTCTCAGGCACCACCCACCCATGCATGGGCATCCAATCACATCACACGGAAATAACAAGGGGCAGCCAGAGCTGCATCCGGGGAGCTGCATCCATTGCAGTGTGTGAGGAAGCCTTGAGCCCTGGACAGAGGCACTCCTCTTCAAGGAAAATGCTGAGTTCCATGAGGGCAATCTGTGGCTTCCTGTTTCTCCCTTGTCTGTAAACACATGGTTCTTGCAGAAGCATCACAGAGAATCGTCTTCAATGGACCAAAAAAAGAAAAGAAAAAAAAACCCCACAAAATCAAAACTGGCCGGGTGGATGTGTGGATGTATGAATGGATGGCTGGCTGGCTGGATGGCTGTCTGGATGGATGGGTGGACAGGGGGATGGGTGGATGGATAAGTGGATGCTTGGTTTTTGTGGCCAAATGGGCCGCTGGATGGGTGGATGAAGGATGAGGTTGGCGTTTGGTCTCCTGGGTCTGGAAACCGAAGGGCCCAAGATTTTCCCAGTTTGGTCTCAAGGGTTCAGAGGAGGTTTGCTCCGACCTGGTTTCCCAAAATGCACCTGACCAGGCCTCCCATCCACTTGGGGAAATCTCGCAGGTCGGTCTTCATTTACCCTATGGTAATGATCAAAGAAATCTCGAACCATGCTCTTCTTCCCACTCTGCCCGTGTTATCTGTCTGTCTGTCTGCCTGGCTCGCTGGCTGGCTGGCTGGCTGGCAGGCTGCCTGGGTTTCTTTGTTTCTCTCTTTCTCGCTCTCTTGCTAGCTCTTTTGAGTCCACTGTTGCTGGGCCAGTAGGCAGAGACGTTTGAAATGAGCTCTCTCCCCGAGGTCATTTTGGGAAATGTTTTCATTTGGTGACGGCTTCTCCGTCACCCGCTAAACGGTTGGAGCTGGGCTCGAATGACTGGCAGTCTTCCTGCCCCAGCCTTCCACCGTTGTGGAATGAAAGGTGTGAGTGAGTCTCCAGGCCCAGCCTGGGGATCTTTTCTCCATCGGCTGTCCACTTTTCTTGCCAGAGTATTGAGCCAACTGTCCTTTGCCCTCGTTGTAAGGTTGGAAGAAAAGTCACAGTCACGAGGCTTAGATTTGATGACAAGAAAGTGTTCCTGAGAGGATGAAGGGGGCCTGTGCTGATCGGGGGAGGATGTGTTGGCAGTTGTCATGTTGAGAGGCTGGTGAGGTGACCACCCCTACCATTTGCTCAAAGCAAGTGGAATGGTTTGGTCAGTAAGGAGGTGGTAGGAAAAAGCCAAAAGATCTTCCCAGGATCCAAATCTATCATCTATCTATCTCTCTACCTATCTATCATCTATCTATCTGCCATCATCTACCTATATGTTAACAGGTATACACATCAGTTGGGGACAATAAATTGTATTGTGACAAGAAAGTGGGATGCTGTAGTAGTAAAAATTTATAAAGAAGGACTAAATACAACAAAGCTAATTTAAAAAAATTACCAGAAAGCATTGGTTATAAATGTCATATGCTATAAGATTCTATTTATATAAAGCTTACCAAATACAACATTATGCAGTTGTTATTATTTGAAAGAAAAATATCAATTTGATTAAAACTGAACAGAATAATGTATGTTTCATGAGGGTGGTACTTTCCCTGGGGAAAGAAGAAAATCAGTTTTATGCAAGAATATAAAATGGAGGTTTCAAACATGCCTCTAATATTTTTGCACTAAAGATGTCTAAAGGAAAAATGGTGAAATATATGTTTTTATCCTATGATACCATTTATTTTATTTTTTATTAGTACATGTTTGCAGTACATATAGTTTACAATCATCTTGGGGCGTGGGTACATGTACATAACACAGCTTGGTTCTTTTTTTAAATGCCCTGACTCTTCATGAATTAGAATAGTTTTAACTGGTGAGTGATGGATGCTGACTGGCATGATTTTACTTCCCATCATGCTTGAATAATCTGTAATAAAACACACTTCTCTGAGAAGGTTAAAATATTTTCAGTTTTCTCAAGGAATGCTATTTACATATACATTTTTTCCTATTTAGGTAGTCATAATTTTGTGATTCCTGTGTCTAATGCATTTACCATTTGATTCATTTTCAGTGTTAGATGTTATATGGCCAAAGGAATATTGGTATCACTGATGCATCTTTCTGTACTTTTCTGCAAACCAATATTCCTAGTGTTAGATTCAGCATATAAAATCTTCCCCAAAGTGTGCATTTCATATGCTGGAGATGTTCTGTCTTTCTCCCTTCCCTTGATCCAGATGTCTATTCCTTCTAAGGGGTGAACAGCATCACTTGCTATTGTCATTCACATGATAGGACAGATCAATACCAGTGTTCCAATTGCCAGCACTGTTCTGGCCACTTTGCTGTATTCATTTCTCATCAAGCAAAAGATTCACATGCAGTTTCCTCCCAAATTTAGTGAGGCATAATTACACAAAGAAAAACTGTGTATACTTAAGATACACAATATGGGCAGAATTCTAAACTGAGAAATGATTATCAAACTACAGCTAAAGAACACATTCATCAAACAGTTTCATTAAGCAAAGGGGAAACCCTGGCTTCTTATATTGTTGAAGACTTTCCCTCATTCAGAAAGGAAATACCAAGTCTTGGATTAAATTCAGACTGTGTGAATCTAGTGTTACACCAAATGATCAGCATCGTACTGCCTCTGTCTTCCCCAAGAGAGGAAGATCTTTGCTCTAGAGAGACCCTCTTATTAGGAAACCTGATTATCTAAATCAGTGTCATCTTGACATCTCTGCCATCTGAAGATTAACAAATTGGTTGTTATTTCAATCTGTCTATATAAGAGCCTCTACATTTCATTCTTTCACTCATGTGGCTAGTACTTGTTTATTCTGTGTAATGATACGCTACCTCTCTCACTAAGGAAAGATGTTCCCTTAGGATAAGACAAAGTGTTTTCAACATGATTACCCATTTCTTCTAGAATTTATTGTTAAAGCAGATTTCTGGCACTTCCAGGGAGATTCTTATGGGTTTGAATTTAAAAGCAATATTTTCTAATTATTGTTCAAATCTACCTGGATGAACCTCCCTCTCCTTAATTGTAGAAGTAGTAGAAGTGGGCATACCTAGAAAGAAAGGAAAACAAAAACAAAAAATCTTTGTTTGTGATAGTTTCTCAGTGTGAGAAACTGAAAGTGAAAATAAGGATCAAAATGTATATTAGATAACGTGAAATAGGAAGAAAAGGTCTAAAAGGGAAGGGGAACTGGTGGGGGAGGGAAAAGAAAGAAGGGAAACAAAAAATATGAGAAAAGGAAAAAATGGAAGCAAACTCTTTGTAAGAAGAGGGGTTGAAGGGAAGGCAGGGAAATGGGGAAAATAAGAACCAAGATATATCACGTAAAGGTACAAATTCCCAATGATGAATGTCATTATATTGTATACCTAAAATGTACCAATAAACCTAATGAGTAAAAAAGAACTATACTGGAAATTTTGAAGACCTATGTGATCATTTAGCATTACTGACTTTATGGTGTCCACAATCATTAGCAGAAATTGGTCATGAGAATCAATCCAGCAGGCAGATAACCTAAGTTCTGACTCAGAGTTTGCCACACATGAACAGTGTAGTTTATGTGCATTACATAACCTTGTGACATTCATGTCTGGCAGGGAGAGAGCATCAACTATCTCGACTATAATTTGACAAGCCCTTCAGATGATCTGAAGCCCTTCAGATGCCAACAGTGCAGACCATGGCTTTGGAAGACATATTTGATAAGTTAACCCTCATCTTTACTTCTATTGAAGGCATGGGCTAATTCTTATGGAAATTGCATGTCTTATTTCTTATAGTCTCAGCACCTACAACAATGTGTGAAAAAGTGTTGGTTCTCAATAAAGGGTGTGGAAGTTAGAGGAGGAGAAGAGAGAAGAGGAATGGAAAGAAACAGTGACAAAAATATCTGAATAGCCTTTTGGTTCCATTGTATACACAAGATAATTTTCCTTTTTTTGTAAAAACCCTGGTTTTCAAACTTTAGATATATAAAATCCACCTGCAGCATGGGTCCCCATTCCCATATCTTGTCATCAGTAACACTATAACTGTACCAAAGATTTTCTTTTCTACCAAGTCACCATGTCATACTCCTGCTGTTTGGCTAGAAACAAGTCTTTTTATTGTATTTTCACACCATGTTTTCTATGAGATTTACTAGTAACATGAAACTCAGTAACCAAACAACTGTTTTAGAATTCCATCTTTTGGGACTGACAGATGACCCAGAGCTACAGCCCCTCATCTTCAGCCTGTTCCTGTCCATGTTCCTGGTCACAGTGCTTGGGAATCTACTCATCATCCTGGCTGTTAGCTCTGACTCCCACCTCCGCACCCCCATGTACTTCTTCCTCTCTAACCTGTCCTTCATTGATATCTCTGTAAGCACAATCGTGCTTCCAAAGATGCTCATGAACATCCAAGCACAGGATCAGAGCATCACCTACACAGGCTGTCTCTCCTGGGACTGCTTAGCTGTGCTTTGTAGTGGCTTGGAAAATTGTCTGCTTGCTGTCATGGCCTATGACCACTATGTGACCATTTGTCATCCTCTGAGGTACACAGTCATCATGAGCCCCTGCCTCTGTGTCCTGATGGTTCTACTTTCCCTGCTCATTAGCACTGTGCACACCCTGCTCCACACTTTCATGGTACTGTGGCTGTCCTTCTGCACAGACCTGGAGATCCTCCACTTCTTCTGTGAACTTGCTCAGGTCATCAAGCTCGCCTGCTCTGATACCTTCATCAATACCTGCTGGTATACATAGTGGGTGTCATATTTTTTGGTGTACCTCTTTTTGGGATTATTTTCTCTTATATACAAATTGTCTCCTCTATTCTGAGGATCCCATCAGTGGGGGGAAGGTACAAAGCCTTTTCCACCTGTGGGTCTCACCTCTCAGTGGTGTCCTTGTTCTACGGGACAGGTTTTGAAGTCTATGTAAGTTCTGCAGTTACTGACTCCTCCATTAAAAATGTAGTGGCTTCAGTGATGTACACTGTGATCCCTCCAACACTGAAACCCCTTATCTATAGTTTGAGGAACAAGGAAATGAAGGGAGCCTTGAGGAGTCTCATTGTTGGACTATCTTTTGTGTGATTGTGCCATTGGCTTGGAGCTTTGGTTTCTAGAATAAGTTCAAATTGCAATATCAAGGAGCCAAAATGCCCGATTCTATGATGTCCAAGTACCTTTCAACTTGGACTTCAACCCCTATTTTGCTGTTTTGCCAGGGGTGTGATGATTGACAAATGATTTTAATCTCTAAACTCTATTTTGTTGCTTGGACTTCATGGAAGTAGCACTGGAGTTAGACATTCAGTTTTAGCAATTCCATACAGCTTAATCTCAGAGGGAATGTTGGAAAAGGTGAACAGGGGAGAGAAAGGTTTAAGCAAGGCTGTGTTAATATCTGGGGCTGGCTTCTGTGTTTGACCCTCATGGTTAAGGTCACATGGGTTGCACCACCATATACACTTACTATGAGGCAAAATCAGTAACTTCATGCTCCATGAAAAAATTACTGAGACTTGTCATGGGAAAACAGTCTCCTATAAGGGTCATATTAGCATCTACCTTACTCAGTTTCACTAATTATATAATTATCACAATTATATCACCTCAGAAGTTTGAGATGGTCTTGTGAGATTTGAAATTTTGAGCTTCATCAGTGAAAAATGCCTTCATTTCTCATAAAAAGGAACTCTAAATTTATTATGCTTAGACAATGAGGACTACTGTTCATTATAAGGACTTTAGAAATTGGGCATGTATAGCTTCAAGGATTAGGACTTTATTTAGAGGTGCTTCTTCCTAGGATAATTCTCAGTTTTTATATATAGATGGAGGCCAGAAACTGAAACTGAGTGTTCTTCTCCCAGTGCATTGATTATAGACCTCTTTATGGAGTCAATCAAATATATTTCTGACTTGAGTTAAATGGTGGCTGTCCAAATAATACTTCCATATCCTTATCCCCCTCAATGGTGACTATGAACTTATAACATGAAAGGGAGGAATGGCCCTTATATACAACAGAGGTCTTTGCAGAGAAAGTACATATACCAGTTTATTTTCTTTAAGTGTACTTTTATAGACTCTTTCAAGGTATACAGAAGTAGAAATAGACATTGAATTAACGCAACCAATTTTTGATGACTTTTGTTTACATACTTGTCCACAAAACCAATTCCCTATGACTATAATGTCTCATAGTCACCTTTTAAACATGCCCGGATAACTTGTAACATCAGTTTGCTTTTTGTGACATTGATAAACTTAAGGTGATGAATTATTTCTATATTTTTGTTATTTTCTATATATTGTTATTTTCCTCATTGATCTTCTGGTATTCCATCATGTCATCTGGTTTACCAGTGATGCATTAATTTACAGTGTTCTCCATTTTACGTGATGTATAGTGACAAAAAATAAGGAGTCCTTCTAATATTGATGAATTTTAGGTAGATCTTTTTCTGACATTGTGGATAAACTGAATGTTCTCTCATGTTTCCACATGAAAATTAAAGATAGATTTTTTTGTGACATTATTAGTTTTAAGAGTATAAATGTTCTTTTTTTGTGTAATCCCCCAAAACATTTTCTAAATAGTTGAATTAATTGACATTCCCACTAGATGGTTTGTAATTTCTACATCATCAGAAACATTTTTAGTTACCTTAACAATTCATAAAATATTGTTTGGTTACTCTATATTTCTCTTTTTTTTCATGGACCATATCTTTATTTGCATTGTCAAAATCATTCTTTGTTAAAATAAGACCTTGAGATTCTTTGTCATTATCTGAATGCACTGTACTGCAAATATCATAAATTGTTGGTTCATATGGACTTTAATTTTCTGTTTTTTCTGAGGTTTCAATTCTGGTCCAGGTACAAAGAAAATATTTACCCCAAAGTGGAATATGTTGCTCCTTTTTTAATCATCTTGTTTTGTTTTAGGGAAGGAAGAAATTTTGTTTTCACTGCACATAGGCAATGGCTGAGTGAGCTGAAAGGAAGTGAATTTGCATTCTTGTCTTGTGGAGCCTGAATAGGAGGGATATACCTTCATTTTTAGCAGGCAGATCACAAACAGGATTGCCAGTTCCCCAACTCAACATTGGAACAGTTTCAAGTATCATCTTGTGAAACAACAGTGATGCAGGTCTATAATCCAGATGATTCTTTTACAGGTAGCTTTAACAACACCCATAGTGTCTCTGAGTGGGAATAATTTCTTCTTTTTTGTCTTCTGTTCCTGATTTCGTCATGGAAATCCAAGCCCTCTTATGCCTTTAAAAACTTGCGTTGATGTAATAAATATGCATGAACCATTTCATCAGTAACTCCCTTTCCAGCTTTACAGTGAATTGCCACAAGATAATTGTCATCTTCCCTTAGCCATTGGTCAAGATCTTCACAAAAGAGTGCTACATTCTAGTTGTGGTAAGAGAGGCTCTTCAAATGAATACTCTGCAAGTGAAGGAAATTTGGGGTGTTATAATGTGTTTCAGGACATACACTGTACACCTTGTAATGGTTTTAGGCTTTGAAAGCAAACACCACACTACATCATCAATGTTATTCCTGTGTATACCTTCAAGTCTCTCTGTGGGAAATCCCATAGTAATAATATTTGGATAAATATAAATCAAGCCTAACTTGAATTTATTCTCTTGATATCTCCTTTAGTTTCTGCTAATGATCTCTTTGATGCTGGCTGCCATGTCTGGGACCCTGTGGCTGAAGAAAAAGGAGAGAGATGGTGGAAGATGCTTGTGGTGGGTATTCTTCTTCAGGATGAAAATGGCTCTGGACTTGGTGGTTGTTGGTGCCCCTCTCTTGGCTGCAGCTTGGCTCTGAACAACAGCTGAGTAGAGGCCTCTGTATTAGCTGCTTGATGATTGCAATGATTTTCTTTTTGTTTCTCCTCGGCAGTCACTGAGCTGCCAGTAGCAGAGTCAGCAGCAGCAGCAGCAGCAGCACCAACAACAGTGGGAAAACGTGGAGAAGACAGTCTTTACAACTGCCTCCTTCAGTGGCCTCTGGAGCTCAGCCAGGGAGGATGCTGTGGCAGGGAGTGGAGGTTTAAAATCAGCCCCAAATGACCAATAAATACATGACAAAAAATCTTCAACATCTCAGGCCATTAGAAAATGCAAATCAAGTGCTTGCTTCAGCAGCACATATACAAAAATGCAAATCAAAACAATACTGGGAATCCATCTTATTCCAGAAATAATGGCTATCTTAAAAAAATTAACAAACAAACAAATGCTGGTGAGGTTGTGGGGAAAAAATCCTTCTCCATAATTGGTTGTAGTGTCAACCAGAACAACCAATATGGACATTAGATTCTTCAAAAAACTAAAACTAGAAATTGTATTTGACTCAGCTATTCCACTTCTAGGTATCTTCTCAAAAGAGTTAAGGACATCATATTTCAGTGAGCCATGCATACCATGTTTATAGCAGCATATTTCTAATATATAAATCTTGGAAGTGGCCTATATGTAGATCAACAGATGAAAGGAAAAGGAGAATATAGTATATATACACAACAGAGGGATAAATTTGAGTCATTTGTAGGAAAATTGATGCACCTCGAGACCATAATTCTAAGTAAAAAAGCAGGTACAGAAGGTTAAATATCACATGGTTCCTCTTAAATGAAAAACACAAAATAAAAGTAAAGGGCAAAATAAAAGTTAGATGACAGAAAACAGGAAGGTAGACTTGCTGGAGATGGGAAGGGGATCTGGAGGTGGGGGAGAAGGGAGAGAGACGAGGGGAAGGGGAAATAAAATGATTAAAGTATGATATGTATTTTTATCAATTCCCCAAGATGAGTGTGATTATTAGGTATTGCAAATGGATGCTATTACAAATACTATCATGTGCTGCTGCCATGTTGGAGGCAGCAGAAGGGGAAGGTGTTTCCAGGCCTGGGAATGGTGACAGGTCACCCTGGTCCCCCCTCCAGAACTGCAGCCACCTTTCTGGAAGTGGAAGATGCAGCTGTAGATCCTCAACAGGCTCCTGCCATAGCCCAAGGCTTCCACATTCCTTCTAACAAGAAGCCAACAGGATGCTGCACAGTTATGGAAGAAGACCAAAAGGAGATGGAGAATGCTGCTGCTGTCACCTCTCTCACCTTCCTCACCCAAGCCAGGCCTGGTCTCATGGCAGATGAACTCGCAAACTTCTATCATGGCTGCAGCTTCTGTGGGGACAGGTTCTATATTTCTCTTATTCTGGATATTTCTCTTATTCTTTTCATATATTATGGAGCATTTGCATTTTCCATTTTGGAACACTATGCTTTCAAAATTTTCCATTGAAGTGTTTTTCACTCCTGTGGTTTGAACCCAGCACCTTGTACATGCTAGGCAAGTGTTCTACTAACAAATTATGAAACCCGACTTGCCTTTCTAAATTAATGTCTACTTGAAAGCATTCTTAGATTGGCATATGGTATCAATGTTTTTGTGAATTATATGAATTGCTAATTTCTTTAGATATGTGGCTCACTTTCAATCATCTATAAAGTGTTCAGTGTATGCATAAAATTGCTCAGTTTCAATATGGTTGAATTTGGCAATATTTTTCCTAATGACTTGTGATCATTTTTTTGAAAAAAAAAAAACCTTTGTGGACTGGAAATAAACACAAGGTCTTCACATTGCTTTCTACCTATTTGTTAATTTTTTAAAAAAAGTTTCTTTCTAAGTTGCTAAATTTTTAAGACTGAGTTCAAACATGCAATCCTCCTGCCTCAGCCTTCCAAAGTCAAATGCCATTATGCTCCAATGTGCTTAATAATTCTTGATAATGAAAGTCATACTTACATCAGTACATTTAGAGCACTGACTTGTAGACTTGTAGTTTAGACATAAACCACCTGGAATTTAGCTTTGCCTTTGAATTGAGTCAGAAATCCAGGATCATTTTTGTGCTCAATTCACACATGAATAAATATTATTTAGATGATATTTTCTTTTCTGAACAATGGGATGATCATATTTATCCTTGCCCTAATCCTAATCACGTCTTAATGATTGTAGTAGCACAGTGCACGTGTGTTACTTTCTGTTTTTGGAGGATGATAACAAACAAATGATAGTTTTGTATTTTTGTATTGGGGATTGAACCCAGGCCTTTATGTATCCCAGGTGAGTGCTCTATCACTGATCTGTATCACTTTCTTCCTTTTAATTTTTTAATTTTAAAATTATTTGTTAATTTCCCCAGACTGGCTTTGAAGATTTGGTTCCCTCACCTCAATTTCCTAAGTGGCTGGGATCACAGGCTTTGTGTCATCACACACAGCTTCATGAGTTACTCTTAATTAAAAAAGATACTCTCCAAAACTCTCATTCTGTTCTTGCTACAATCTCATTCTCTCCTCCCTTTGAAACAATACCCCTCAAAGGTGTATTCACTCCTCTTAATTCTTCTATATTTTTCTGAGGTCAACACAATCAGGCTTTAGTGTGATTTTTCATCTTTCATTCTCCACCAGTCAGATCTCTGCTCCTGGATGCAACTTCTTGACTTCTGGTGCCTGATGATGTGGAATGTGTCCCCAATCCATCCAGCAAGCCAACAGTGAACTTGCATACATTCTTCTTGGAGACATTTCTGACCATTTCAGATGTTCTGAATCTAAAATCATGGGGTATAAAAGTAATATAAATAGGTCCCTAACACCCGGAAGGAAGCTCCCCCACTACTATCCCATGCTCCTAGGACAGAGAAGGTGAGCCAGTCCCAGCACCGGGAAGGAAGCTGCTCGGCCACTATCCCATGCTCCTAGGGCAGAGAAGGTGAGCCTGCAAGCGCAAGAAGCACCACCCCACCCCCGGTAATGAAAAGACACTCAACCAAGACTCAAAAACAGACTTCCAGGTCACCTACAGCAACCCCAAAGGGAAAGGAGGTGGAAAAATCTGATACTCAACAACCTGGACTCTCTGAACTGGCAACAAAGGAGGATCTGGAAAAAATGAAATCAGAAATAATTACTCAGATAACAGCAAAGATTATGCTCATAGTGCAAGACATGATTAATAAATCTAGAGAAGACACAGATGAAAAAATAGAGTATCTGAGGAACATGATGGAATCCCAACAAAGGAAACAAATGGAATGCATGAAACAGATGCAAACAGATTTCCAGGAGATTAAAAACTCCATCGAAAGTCTGCACAGCAGAATGAACAAATGTGAGGATAGAATTTCAGATATAGAAGATAAGATTGCAATTAGTGACCAGGAAAATAAAAATTGCTTTAAAATTGTAAGAACCATGAGAAAGCAATCCAGCAGCTGCTAGACGATGCAAAGAAGAATAACATAAGACTGATTGGAATCAATGAAGAAAGAGGAGAGAGTGCAGATGACATAAAAAAACTGTTCACAGAAGTGATGGCAGAAAACTTCCCAAGGAGGGGAAAAGAACTT